AAATATCTATTTAAAACTTATTTCTCACAAACCTAAATATTTTTTAATGTAAAATATATTTAAATAATTGAATCATAATGTATCATTATGTGCACATAAGTAACAAAATGGACAAATTACAAATAAAGTCTTGAAATTTTTTAAAATTATTTAATGATATAATTTTTTTATTATCTGACAAATAAAAACAGAATTTTTAAAATTTCCATCTCGTTTTAGCAGTTCTATGAGTTGATGCAAATGCTCAAAAATTCAAAATTTTTGGCAACATATTAGCAGTAGTTCTTCAAAATTCAAAACTTTCAGCACCACGTTAGTAGCAGTTATGAGGAACCGCTACAAATGCAAAATAAAACTCCTATAAATTTTATACTCTTCTGCCAATTCTAACTCACATTTAAAGTGATTTCTAACATGCATTTGTAGCAGTTTCTGACAACAATTGTTAAATTTAGTAGTAGGTTTGACCATAGTTATAGTGATTTTTTATGACCAATACAAAATATTTTGTCACATCCATTTTAATAGTGGTTCTAAATCCTGTCACAAATGCAGTTGTAGTGGTTAAAATGACTACAAATTCACAAAAATAACTGTAACAAAATAATTTTTTCTTTCTTTTTGGTAGTGGGCGATGGAAGATGAGACAAAGGCTATGGAATAGCTGATGAGAGGTGGCAAAAGATGGCATCAAAGGAAAATCAGAAAAAGAGAGGCATAAGTAGCGAAATATTGGCGAGAGCCGAAGGCGATGATAGGGAACCATTGGAAGAAATGACAGCAAGGCACTAAAAGAAGCGCTAATAGGAGAGAAGTAGTGTTCTCCTTCGAAAGCCCTCTTTTAAATATATTTTTGACTAAAAAAAAGTTAATTTTGTTGATGAGAAATGAACTAAATTAATGGGCCAATTTTTTTATATTTAATAAAAACATTTTTAAATAAAAATATTAGTTATAAATTAAATTTGCCAATAAATTAATTTTATTTTGAAAAAAATTAACTAAATTAGCTAAGTTAGTTATATAGAATAAATGTACATCAACTTTTCTTATTATCTTTGACCAAAAACTTTAACCCTTTATAATTAAAAACTAAACAAAATACTTTTTAATTAGGAAAATGACTAAAAAAAACTTTAAAAGTAACAAATTCTAAAGAAAAAACAACTAACACTTCTAAATAATAGGAAATGAGAAAAAGCTAGAACTAGAATTATAGAAAGGGAAAATTTTGATCAAGGACAGCTATAGCAAATTTATTTCAATCAGCCCCCAAAACAATATGAAACTTCACTGCAGGACCTACGAGGAAAGTGAAATTAATTGAACAAAGAAAAAGACGCAAATATCCCTGTTAACTTTTGCTCCTCAAATTGAACAGAAGAGGACCGAAAATTGAGATAAACTTTCATCATACTCTTCCCTCTCTCGCATTGAAATCTCTCTCGCATGTATCCTTTTGCATCTCAAAACTCAACATCCGTCTACTGGTTGTGGCACTCTGAAAAGTCACAGAAATCGTCCAAAGGAGATTCATTGTCGTTCATTATGCTGGTTCTCTCACACTAAAACTCGCATATGGATCTGTTATTAGGCTTGAATGGATTTGCTATTTTTTGAATATGAAAAGTCTCTATTCTGTGAATATTTGATTGTTGCTTGTTATAGTAATAGTGGGTATTTTGTCTGGCACATTCGTAAGTCTGAGAATCTTGTTACTTGAATGGGTCCTGTGAAAGCTAAATCTACAAAAAAAAAAATGATAATTTGATATTGCAAAAATATGTATTTATATTATAAATTTGTAAATTTGTGTTGTGAAAACTTGTATATCTGTTACTAATTCACAAATTTCTGTTGTAAACATATATAGTTCGGATATTAACAACAGCAATTAGTAACTCTACAATATGATGTTCTAGAATTTTGCCTGTCATAGGCAAGGATGGTGCAGGAACATAGAGCATGGCAAGTGGAGAAACACCTGAACCAAGTTCTAGAATATGAAGTCAGTTGCTGTTGCAAAACTACTTCAACAGATAAAGACACAACTGAAAAGAAAGCGATGATATGACAAATTGTTAAATTTTCTATTTGACATGTAATTTAAGCTATTTGGAACTATGTTAAAAGTTATGAATAGAGAATTTGAACAATTTTCTTTTTAGGGAATATATATTATGAGTATGTTGTATGTTAATTAATTGTAATCTTGAGTCTTTCCCTACCAATTTACAAGTATGTGATGTATTTTTCATAGCTGGAATTAGAAAATATGCAATTTGGATAAGTTGATTTGTTAGAGAAACTCATCCATTTGCAAATGAGCTAATATAACTAAAAAGATGAACATGATAATCTAACAAGTCTAGAGAGATTATTCATAAGTGAAATTAGAAAATTTGCAACATGGATATGCACATTAACAACAAAAACTTGTCTATTTGCAAATAAACTAATCTGATTAAAAAAGTTGGACATGTTGATTCATAAGTCTAGGAGGACTTATTTAAACTGAAATTATAAAATTTGCAACATGCATACATATATTAACAATTACAATATGTCCATCCACAAGTGACATAGTTGAATTGAAGAAGTTGAACGTGATTCACATGTCTGGGAAGCTCTATTTGTAACTGGAATTAGGAAATTCACAACGCATATATGTATATTAACAACAACGTGTTTATTTGCAAGCGAGTTGGTTGAATTGAAGAGGTTGAATGATTTGCAAGTTTGGAAGGACTTATTTGCAACTGAAATGACGAAATTTGCAATAAGAATACATATATTAATGACAAAAACACGACTATTTGCAAGTGAACTAGTTAATTGACAAATTGATCATAAGTTTGGGAGCAAGTGTTCATTCATAACTGGAAGCAGAGAATTTGTAACAAAACACGTATATTAACAATAAGAACACGTCCATTTGCAAGTGAGCTAGTTGAATTGACAAGTTGATTATAAGTCTAGGAGTGAGCGTTCATTCATAACCAGAATAAGAAAATTTGCAACAAGAATGTGTTTTACCACCACTTACATCTCTTCCATTCACAAGTGGAGTATTTAAAATAAAAAATTTATGCACAAATCTGGATGTTCCATTTATAACTAGAATTAGACAATTTGCAATAGGATTACATGTATTAACAACAAAAATACATCCATTCGTAAGTGGACAAAGTTTTTCATAGATTTATATTGTTGTCAGCTAATTTCAGTGCAGTGCTAGGGATAGCTTATTGTCCAGTACCATCATGATATTTTTCAACTATCACATCACTATACAAAATAGATTCCAATCCACCACCAAAAATATTAAATGGGTTGTCATAGCTACTTCTCCAACCAATCCAAAAATACATATCGAGATTCATTCATGTGTAAAAGCGGCTCTACATCAAACCAGAAAAGACTATTTTTGGCAATAAAGTCACACAGGGTTCAAGGGCAAGTCTTTCTAGTATGACCAGTTTCACCACATCTTGGGCAATGATACACTTTCTTCTGCTAGAATTGTGATTCAATCCTTTTAGTTCTAAGCCTTCCAAGATGGTGAGTAGTCAATGATGGTTGCAGGTTCTTCACAAATTCACCTCCCACATGGTAGATGCAAATTAATTGTTTTCCACTACTGCTAACCTTTTGTTATCTGTAACTGCATATCATTCAAGTATCAATTTCAATTGACTTTCAATAATTAAACACAGTATATATTTATAACAGAAATTTGTGAATTAGCAATAGATATACAATTTTTCACAACACGAATTGCCATTTTCCTAGACAACTTGAATTTACACATTTATAATACAAATACATATTTTAGCAACATCAAATTATCATTTTTTCTACAAATTTAGCTTTCACAGCACCCATTCAAGCAATAGGCTTCTTAGACTTACAAATATGCTAGACAAAATACCTACTATTACTATAACAAGCAACAATCAAGTATCTCACAGAACAGAGACTTTTCACATTTGAAAAATAGCAGATCCATTTAAGCCTAATAACAGATCCATATGTGAGTTTTGAGTGTGAGAGAAACAGCACAACGAATGATGATGAATCTCCTTTGGATGATTTCTGTGACTTTTCAGAGTGACACAACCAGTAGACGGATGGCAAGTTCTAAGATGCGAAAGGTAAGAGCATGCGAGAGAGATTTCAGTGTGAGAGAGGGAAGAGTATGATGAAAGTTTATCCTGATTTTTAGTCCTCTTTTGTTCAATTTTAGGAGCAAAATTAAACTGAGATATTTGCATCTTTTTCTTTGTCCAATTAATTTCACTTTCCCCCTTAAGTCCTGCAGTGAAGTTTCATATTGTTTTAGGGGCTGATTGAAATAAATTTGCTACAATAGTCCTTGATTGAAATTTTCCCTTATAGAAATGTGAGAAAATGACCAATATGCCTTTATGTGATGCTCAGAAAAGGACGATGTTATTCTATATTCCAAATCTGTTAATTTATATTTCAGCCTTGTTATTTTCATATCAAATTTAGTTATTTCCTTGAATGAACATATGCTTTCATTCAAGAAAATGATGTTATTTTGCATTCTAAACTTGTTAATTTATATTGCAATTTTATTATTTTTAGATAAAATCTATTCATTTTTTTAAACCGACACAACGGCATATTGGTCATTTTACTCATATTTTCATAATTTCAGTTCAAACTTCCCCCCATTTGGAGGTGTTAGTTTCCTTTTTGGAATTTTTTATTTTCAAGGCTTTTTTTTTGGTCATTTTTCCTTCTATATTTATCACCTAACCACAAGCATAATCGCATGACACAGGTAACCGACTTTATCATGTTAATTGAAAAGGAAAAAAAAGAACAAGAAGAAATGAATGTAGCAGGGGTGAATCCATTGAGACGGTGGAATGGGGGAAACAAGAAAAATCCAAGAGTTATTCATGCTCTGACATTTTTCCGTGGAATCTGACGGTACCATCACCACTCAAAATGGCCGTTCGCTCTTGTTAATCAAAGTCCCACCAATTCACAGCCTCCACGTTGCAAACCATTTGCTTTGCGGCACGACAAAACAGAGCCAGAAGAAGAACAAGAAGGAGTAGACCTTCATGAAAATCCAAAATCCAAACATATATTAGTTTCTTCCATCAAATTGATATTGGGTTTCATTTTCTCTTTTCCTGCCTCTTTGATCTGAGGTTTGTTCGTGATGATGCTTTGTTTGGGTCGGAATCCTGGCCTCTTCTACTCTCTAGTTTCGTTTCATCGGTACGATTCTCCGTATACTTGCAAGAGATTTCTCCATGGAAGTGGCAGGTTCAGCGCGAGATGGCCCCTGATGGCGTTAGAATCGGACTCCTCTTTTGCCGCCTCTGTTGACTCTGATGTAGCCGACAAAAACGCTGCCGGGTAAACTTTTTATCTCTTTCTGTTGCAGACATGATTGGATATAGTTATGAGAGAAAGCTAGAAGAAATTGAAGCGTGTCTCCAATTGGCTCTCTGTTATGGGGTTGCTTTTTGTTTATTAGTAACTGGCTGCAAATTGGCGTACACTTGGTTTAATTGATTGCAGTTTCTATGGACTCTAATTTGCTGATAAAAACAGTGCAGGATAAACTCTCTCTTTCTATTGAAGACTTGCCTAAAATGCAAAGTGATCTGTTTCTCACGATGCAATCAAGGCGTTTTTCTTCGATTCCTTTTCTGTTTTGGGTTGTTTTATTTTATTTTATTTTATTTTTTTGTTTGCAACTTCGCCAAACTTTTGAAACTTCAGGTTGTTGTTTTGACTCAGTTAGTTGACCATGTTGAGCGCTGTTATTTCTCACTACTACCGTAGTACTGGAAATCTGTTGTCATATATATGCACTTATTTTTTCAATTACAGATTCTGTATCATTGAAGGGCCTGAAACTGTACAAGATTTTGCCAAAATGGAACTACAAGAAATTCAGGATAACATTAGAAGTCGTAGGAACAAGATTTTCTTGCATATGGAAGAGGTGAGAATTTGTATATTCTGTTCTGTTGATGGGTGAACTATAGATATGACCGCTTTGATTATTGTGTCATATAGGATAAGCCCATAAGGCATAATGGTATGTACAAAATTTAAAAGTATTATATAATCTATTTTTTGTATCAATGGACCATGGACCATGGACCATGGACAATGGTGGTAATGGAGTGTGATACTGATATTTTTATGGTATCTCAGCAAATGAGGGCAACCTGGTAACTTTATTCAAAGTTCGTTTATCCACTACCAGTCTCTATGGCAGCATACCATTACACGGTGATGGCCATATAAAAGTCTTAACCATAAGATTTACAATTCTTCTTGCCTAAACATCATAAAATGCCTTATTGTTTCAGTTCCATACAAGCCTATTTAGCCCTGCATGATGTAAACGGGACCTACAATTTAACTCTAATAATTAACTTCTGTATATGAAAGGTAATTAATTAATTCAACTCAATCGAGGTTAGCCTGTTAGCCACTCCTTTAACTTGGTTAATTTTCCTGTTTGAATAATTTTCCTTACTAGTTATAGTGGAAATGAATTTATCAAGAACACCTAAATTATAACTTTAATTTAATGAAAATCGATTGTAGCTCAATGACATTACATGCTCTAAACTTCCATGCGCTTTTGAGCCTAAACTGTTCTGGTTATTGCGGTAGATAGATCTGTGCATTTCTTCATTGTATAACCTATTTCTTTCCCTTTGAAGACACTGTTTCCTGTGAGATTTTCATGCATCATGGAAACATAAGATGGATGGTTGATCTGCTGGTATAATTGCAAAATGTATGCTAGTATAGGATGTCTTCCTTTAGTTTTACTATAATAAATATAATTTGACATCTTATGGTTGATGGTTCAATGATTAGCAGAATACTTTTCATTTGTATGGCTACGGTTTGGCTGAGCTCTTGGTTCCCAAATAAAGGTCTTAGAACTACACATTATGGAGCCAAGGGATTTTGAGTTAGATATTCTATTGATTGCAGGATTGTAGTTTCTCCTTCATTGTGTCAATGATATGGTTGGTCTGGCTGACTATAGTTTTATTATTGTTTATTTTGATTATTTAGAAGAAAATAGGCTGATTTTTTTGAATGGCCTTTTCAATTTGAAACCAAGGGCCTGCTCAAAATTCAAATTCCCATATATGCATTCTTATATGTGGCAACCCTTTTTTTTTTTTAAAATAATAACCAATATTATTATTTCGCAGGTTCGTAGACTCAGGATACAGCAGAGGATTAAAAGTGCTGAATTAGGATTGAAAGAAGAGCGAGAGAATGAACTTCCAAACTTTCCATCGTTTATTCCTTTCTTGCCTCCGTTGGTAAGCTTCTTGAAGCTAGAGATAAAATATTTCAATTTCAATTATTTAATATATGTTGCCTGTGATTTTGTATGCGCAAATTCTTGGGTAAATAGTGATTATGCATTCTGTTTTTGCCTCCCTTGGTAAGTTTCTGGGAGTTAGTGATAAAATATTCCAATTATTTAATAATTGTTTCCCGTGATTTTGTCTATATGCTTGATTAGCATGAAGCACAGAGTCTTGGAAAATGGCGATCAATTTATATATTTAATGTTAATTTTGCAGAGTGCATCAAACCTTAAGCAATATTATGCGACTTGTTTATCTCTTATTGCTGGGGTGATGCTTTTTGGTGGCCTCCTTGCTCCCACTGTAAGTTTTTCTGCTTTCTTTCATGTTTGTGGTCACAAATTTCTTGTTTCCTTGTGTATAATGGGTATTCTACTTCACTTCAGTTCATTTGAAAGGAAACTAGTTTGTTCTGTACACACAAAGATGCTATCTAATGTGAGTTGAACTCTTGTGTGGAAGAAGCATGCTTTTGCTTGTGCTACTCCATTCTTCTCATTGATTAAAAGGTTGAAATCGGTGTTAATATGTATATTGATAATGCATAGAAGATATTAGAATTCTAATGCCATTTCTTGGTCAGTATTGCTATTCTAATGCTTAGCTACTTATCTCTTCAGTATTTTTTTTTTTTTGGGGTGAATATCTCTTCACTACTTTTATATCTTACAATTTACATGTTGAACATGAAGAATTTGTACCATGTAAGAAGGTCAAGGAGATGCTTATTGGAGACCAGTTCTTTTACATTTTTTTCATAAATTTTATCTGTAGCAACTCAAGCCCCTTTAAGGAAACCTGAGACCCAGTTTCTTTCCAACTTTCTCTCTTGCTGCTCATTTTCGTTTTTCTTTCTCAGTTGGAGCTTAAGCTGGGACTAGGGGGCACATCATATGCAGATTTTATCCGTAGTATGCATCTTCCTATGCAGTTGAGGTACTGTGCATTCCCACTTCTGTTGTTTGTCCCTTATTTTCTTTGTGCTTCTCTTTAAATATTCAATGCGATAATTTTTCTCTCATGGTTGCACTTTTATGCATGAAATATGATAACTACACCTAGAAAAAGAACCACCCTGGGCAGGGGTGAATACATATATGCAGAATTTTTGCAAGCGACAAACTCAGCTTGGGTCATCTCCATTAACAAAAGTGAATGAAGAGGGTGCATATATATAGAGAGAGGGAGGGAGGGAGGGAGACAGATTTGTACGCTCCAAACCTAATTTTGAGATTTGAGCCCCATACACAGTCACATTTTGTTATGTCTACTTTTCTTTGAATGAACGCTCTTCATTCACAAATTATTCACTTTGTGAATGAAGAGGATCCGAAGGCAGAAACAACACTTAACCACTTTAAAATATCAATACAATGGCTATCAACTGCAATAAGCGATTAGATCTCTTTGAATGGAAAGATAATGATACAAACAGCAGCAACATTTCAGTTAACACTACTTGAATCACTAATATACAGTGAAATAAACACAAGCTTAACAGCAGCAGTGCTCAGTGCTGAGGTAATGATTATGATGCAAGATAAAATTAAGAGTTAAGTAAGAGAGAGTAGACATTTATTTTGCTTCAGCTTCAGCCTACAGGACCTACACCCAGTCTCATTGCAAAGCAAGATATTTGCAGTTTAACAACCAATTAATTTTTTCAACTGCCCTCTAGTGACAGAACATTTGAAAGTTTTCACTCACTCACCAGCAATGGTAGGTTTTTTCCTGCTCATACAAATTATTATCAATGAATGATAAATTGCAATATAATTTGCCTACACTTTCCCAACCTTGGGGAATGTCACAGAGAAATAAAGAAGTGAGCCATTGTATTTCTATTTTAGCCCCCCCCCCCCCAAAAAAAAAAAAAAAAAGCCCTCGTATTTCTATGGGATTGCAAGTATGCTCTAGGTCTGATTACTCTTTAATTGGGGTCAACCTAGAAACTAAGTTGAACAATGATTTATAGCAAACTGAAACAGATTAAGCAAGCACACACTAAGTTTTTCCTGCCTTCAAATCTTTCCTTTGTTTGAATATGGTCTAATGTATATAAAAATGCCCTTCAGCCAGCCATTGGACAATGTTTAGTGATAAAACTCCTCTGATCTGATCTGATCTTGTACCAATTAATTTAATCCAAACTTGAATGTATCTCCTTTTCAGAGTTGAACTTGCTGGTAGCTTGAAGTCTTCCGGTTTTGAACTGAGACACATTTTAGCCAACATTTTTCTTGATTACAACTTCAGTACTTGCTCATGATCTTCAGAACATTGGGCGGTATGCCAGGATGATCTACTTTGGTTTGCCGTTCTCCATCAAAGTGTAGGAAGATTTAGAACCTAACAAATCAAAACAGATCAGCCACTAATCAGCTCTTAACTTACATGTGATTTAATGCTCAGTGCTTTTAAATAAAATTTAAAGGTTAAAAAAAAAAAATAGATGTCAATTTTCTGTGTTTGTCAGAAACCTTGGGGCCTGCAGAAGCTACGTATGATTTGTTTCAATACGGATCTTTGAATAGTGTGAATCCCTTTTTACTTTTCTTTCTTTCTTTCTCTATTATTATTATTTTTTTCGGGGCTCTTTCTTCCAATGTTAGTATTTGTTAATTGAACTTTCTTGGGAGTTGTAGTCAGGTTGATCCCATTGTGGCATCATTCTCGGGTGGGGCAGTTGGGGTGATTTCAGCATTAATGGTTGTTGAGATCAACAATGTTAAGCAGCAGGAGCAAAAGAGATGCAAGTACTGTCTTGGTACTGGTATGTTATCAAATCAAAAAATTCTAGCCTTTTTTCCGCGTTCTAGAATTGAACTTCTTAATAATGGACTGCAAGGCTTTTGTGACTCTTTTGTTGACCACCTTCTCTCCTGTGTGTACGTTTCTACTCCTTTGTCTTGCTGAGGAGATGATGACTCTTCTGCTTTTGCAATTAAGAGGGAAAAGTAAAAATCATAGAACCAAATGATGTGGGATTCCTTATTTCTAGTCTAATGAATATTGGGATCCAGTCATGCTAATAGTTGGGACTTGGGAAAGACTTTTTAATGCCTTGAACACTCTTACAGTCAGACTCAATAGCTTCTATATTTTAAACTCCACAAACTTTTCCTGTTTCCTACTTTCCTTTCAATTTTCTGTTTGATCATATTTACAAAAATTGGTAAAACTGTAGTTTTGGCAGCTGAATTGCATTGACCTCTGATGGACTTTGTGATCAGCTGAAATTCAACATTCGCACCATTTTTTTAATTGCAAAGATTGGCACGATTCTGGTTTCAATTCAGGTTTGCTTCTGATGTAGCTATAAATGAGTTGGCTTTCCGACTTGAGTTTTTGACAAATTGCCTCTCAAGATTATTGACTCCACATATGCTGAGTCATCCCCTATCTATGCTTCAAAGTGAAACATTTCATATTTTGTGTTACTTTTTTTTTTTTTTTTTGCCAACATATTTTGTGTTACTTTATATTGTTAGGATTGTTACATAGAATGCTCTCACTTGTTAAATATTGGTGCTTAGTCATTGAACCTGATTATTCATGTTTTTGGTTGTTATGTGACCAAGGAAGTTGAGATTTTAATACTGTTTCAATGTTTTGTAAAGTCAACGAAGTGGGTATATCAGTGACGTCTTGATGTATTGTGAAATTAACTGCAGAGAAGGTTGATACCTCCATTATACTTTTTGTTTTTTTTGTCAGGATATCTTGCGTGTGCTCGCTGTTCAAACACAGGATCACTTGTTCTGATTGAGCCAGTAACCACCGTCAATGGCAGAGATCAGCCTTTAACACCTCCAAAAACTGAGAGATGTTCTAACTGTTCTGGATCTGGCAAGGTTTGTCACCTAGAACTACTGACTTTATTTTCTGTTACTTAATTTGTTACTAATCATATATGATTGCAAATTTTTATACTCTACTAAAGGATAAAGGTACAAATCTACTCATAAAGTATTTGTGAATATGCACCTGGTATCATAGACTTTACTTGGATTTAAAAATACACGAACTTTTCTGAACGAGGCAAAAATGTCATGACAGTTAATTTAACCTAACATCCATTATTTTTTGCAGGTGGGTTTCACACTGTTATCCGTTTGAAAAAATAATGGACATTAGGTTAAATTTACACTTATAATATTTTTTCCTCATTTGGAAAAGGTCTTGTGTATTTTTGCGTCTGAGTTTATGGTGCTATACGCACATTCGCAAATACTTCATGAGTAGATTTTCATATACATGTATGCGTGTGCATCCCAATATTACAAGGCCAAAAAAGCCAGAGTAGGACACTTTCTAACTTTAAACGAATTGTTTTTTACTCAACCCGATCACCATTGGTATCAAAAAAATTTAAAAATTTATTATATTCTCATATCATGTGTCAATATACAATATACACATCCATATCATTGTTTTCTGGAGCTGAACTTGGTCATCCATGTTGTAGTTGTTGAGTCGATTGATAACTGGTGCTCAATTTGGATGGCAGGTTATGTGTCCAACATGTCTCTGCACTGGAATGGCCATGGCAAGTGAACATGATCTTCGCATTGATCCTTTTGACTAGAAATGGCCATGGCAAGTGAACATGATCTTCGCATTGATCCTTTTGACTAGAGCTCTTGTACAAAATTAGTGTTCCATGTTATGCAATTCGTAATGTGTTATTGTGTTATAGACGTTTTGGCAATGGAACACTGGAATTTTTTTTGTATATATGTACTAATACTTAATTACATACAGATAGGGAAAAAAAAGAGAATAAGAATAATTATGATATAACATTTTCTACATTTTTAATGGCTAGTTGTGCTAAACGTGAGAGTTTGTACATGAATTTTTTCCGATCTTAGAATGTGAGGGTTTAATTCACTTTATCTCAATTTTTTTAATTTTTTGTTAAACCTTTTTTTTTTTTCTGATTATAGATATTAAAGGTATTTTATTTATTTATTTAGGAAGTACTTTTTAGAGCAAATGATTGGAAGAGTATTTTTTTTATGAAGTAAAAAAAAAACATTTTTGGAAAATCAATATACATGTTTTCACTAATTGCTAATTTGATTTTTTAGATCTATAAATTAGTTATATAATCCCTGTATTTAGATTAAATAGAATATTTTTGTATATTCTCTTCATAATCTGGTGTTTGATTGCGGGACAAAATTTACTTGTGGGAGTGGTTGCAGAGCAAATTTTGGAAAAGGATGAGAACCTAAAACAAGAAACATTTCAAATTTTAGGCCTAGAAGTACTAAAAAGCTATTGGATCCCATTTAGCAGGAATCCTAGAAATGTAAAATAGAAATAATTGGGTTTTCATAGACTAAACTGTAAAATAAAAAAGTTCTGGGATTAAAAGGTAAATAAAGTTAGAGATTCTGATAAAATTTCAAAGCCTAAGAATGATAAAAGGAGATGAAAGTGGGCTAGGGGTTGTGCTAGAGACCTCAAATGAATGATTCTTGAGGTTAAGTCCGAATAGAGACTAAATCGTAAAGTTGAGAAATTTCAAGCCAGAAAGGGTAATACTAGAAAATAAGTTCAAAAAATTCTAGAAAATTCTCATAAAATGAGAAATGAGATTATGAGGCTTATTTAAGGTCAAAAATGACAAAAAATACTCTTGAATTGATTTTAAAGGAATTTTAAAGATTTTGGCTCATTTTGAGGTATGCAGTCAGATTTAATTATTTGAGCAACAAGGAGATCTAGAAAAGTAAATAAAAATGGGGATTCATAAGTTAAGAGGCTATAGAAAATTGTAAAATTAGTCTCATTTCTAGAAAGCCAGTGGAATGGCTTTAAGAATATTTAAAGCCTACTTGTGCTGAAAAAGGGCGTTTTACAGAAAATTCAAAAAGAAACAGCTATAGGTTGAGTTATGGTCTGAGAAAATTCATAAATTTTCTCTAGAATTTGATAATTTTATGGCATGAACATGTGAAATTTTTGGAACTCTGGATTGAATACGGGATTGTACGGATAAAGATTGAAATTTTCAATAGAAATGCTTTAGTCAAATGAAAAAATACAGGATTATATCAAGAATTATGTACAAAAAAATATGAGAATATCTTCTGGTGTCGAGGGAATTGCACGGATAAAGATTCAAAAAATATCTAAAGGTAATGATGGCGCATTTATTTCGATGCTGAGTCAATGTGCTGAGTTGCCAAGTGCATTTATGATGCAATTATAATATAACACCTAACTTTTATATACTAACAGGGTCATGTTACTGTCCGTGAATCACTAAGCTAGGTTTCTATCATATTTTTTAATTTAAAACATGAACTATTTAAAAACAAAATTCTAATGCAAGATTGAACCTATAAGTAAGTAACATTGGAATTCGCTGTTAAAGAAATTCAAAATTTTTGAAAAACCCGACTAGTGGCCTGCAATCAAACCCTATTCTTACGCAACTTAATAAGAGACTTGAAGCCTTAATTAACTAACAGGTCATTATCTACAGGTAGAAATAGAAATAGGGATAAAAGGATAGTGATGAATATAAATATATAGCTATACAAAAGCCATCTCAGTCGATGGCACTTATATGTGCTCAGTATACGCTGACCTCCTTATATAGGGTACAAGAGAATATCTACCCAAAGCAAATTGGTTACTTGTTGTGATTATGTATATAACAGTATAATTAACTTTGCTAATAAAATAAGCTACTATATAAGTACAAAATAATGCACGCATTCCTGCTCTTCATAACTCTCCATCTTCTTCTCTTACAATATTCTTTCCCTTAGAGCTGCTTGCCTCTGCCATATATCATGGAAGGGAGGTGAGATTCCGGAGAATCCCCGTAATAGTAATTTCTAACAAACATAAATGCAGATTATATAAAGCATGCAAAACAAGCCAAAGTGGAACATAACCTTGCAAGCTACTGCAATTAAGCATTTATGCACAACGATAGATAGACAAGCTGAATAAATAATGTGTACATAATTAGCAGGTATTGTCCCATGTCTATCAGCTACACATGATCACGACTAAATAATCCATGCAAGGAATTAAGGATTATATGTTCTCATGCTTTAAAATAGCAATATGGTACAAACAGACATGTAGCAATCATATATAAGTGTAAGATAGGAAAGAACTACTATTTGGTCCGCTTCCCTCCAAATCAAACCTTAGAAATTTCTTCTTCTTTTGCTTCCTTTGTGAGCTTGAGCAGATATCAAAACTTATCATATTCGTAAGGGTAGATTAATGCTTGATCTAACTGTAATTCATAAATTAAATAACTCTTTTTAAATTCCAAATCTTCTATAATCTCTACCCTTATTTAGTAGTTAGTCATCTTGGACAATTTTTCTTATTCGAACTATTCTCTTTGGATGGTCTTTTTCCTTATCTCAACCCATACAGTTCCTTTATTTAGTAACTGGTCATCTGGGTCAAATATATTATCTTTAATTATTGCACTTAAGGGTAACGTCGTGTCCCCTATTCCAATTCTGGCTCCACTATTATTAAGTGGTTAGTCGTCATGGAACAAAAATAATATATATACATATATATACACATATTGTATATTCCTAACTAATAGTTTAAAACTCCATACTTGAATTTCAATCAATCTCAAACATTCTCCCTTTATAACTTTTTTAACTCCTAGCAGCTCTTATAAGGAACTATTTAATTCTATAATTCTCCCGGCTGATAATCACATATTATTCTCACATATCCTACATCACTTTTGTTTTTTTTCACCATTCTCTCACAGCCTTCAAGTTAAATCTAGAAATTTTCCAAATCCGACTTAAACAATTCACCTTCTTGTTTTTCCTTAGACATTTCCGCAACACCTATTCCATTTGTTTCCATTTCAAGTATTTTAATCAATAAGCCGCCTATATCATTAAATGACTTGATCTTTCCTCCAAAATAATTCCTCAAACAACCTTTCTAAATAAATTCTAAAACTCAATCAATCTTATCCTTAATACTTAAACCTTCTCATCTAGTTCCCAACACTAAAAATATTAATCGATAATTTTCTAATCCAATATCTAACTCTATATATACAAGTTTAGCACTCAAAATCCGACAAGACCCAAAATATATTTAAATCCAAGTTCATCTTTTTCCAACTCCGCCACTATTAATCTATCTATCATCTTTGAATCCTCAAACACACTTTTAATCCTCCACATTAATTCAAACTATCCTTCTTGTAGGTTCTAAAATAGCTTTCAGATTTACTTCCAAATTAAAACTTCCAGACTTTCAATTCCGTTAACACTCAACCTCCTACACATGCATATATTCTCCCATAGCCTCATAATCTCCTTGTACAAACTTTAATCTATGCCAACATATCCTCTAATCATTTAAAATTCCTATCCATTGGTTGGTAACCTCAAGCACATTTTAACAACAAAATTAAATCAACTCCTCTACCTTTCATAGCGTGGAAATTATTCCCAACTTTAAAACATCAATTCAAGCCTATCCTTTAAAACTTAAAATCATATATAACTTAAATTTAAATTATCTAAGACCCTCCTTTCAATTCATCAACTCCAAGCTTCTCCGATCCCTTCAAGAATATAGATCTAATCAATTAATTTAATTGTTCAACATTTAAGACCCCCAAGTTAAACTCAATATAATATATTAGTTCAATTCTCCCCTCTTATCTCCATGAATTCGAGTGCCGTGAACCAAACACACACACACACATATCTATGCATAGATAAAACCAGAACACTTCAAATGCTCATATATGACAAACACGGAAATTTTCTAGATTGAAAATACATTTTTAGAACCAGCCTCACTAACTACAGAAGGCAAAATAAGCATCATTCAAGCTTATATATTTATTTACGTATATCCTGTTTCTAAAACTCAAAAACCCAACATCAATGCAGCAGAAAGCCAAAATTACAGTTCCCAACTTCGGTTACTCTTGGCTAGCATCAGTATACGGCACTATCAGAAAAATAAATAACATGCAATCCAACAAACTCACTCCATTAACACAACCCGTAATCATCCTAAACCAGCGACTTATTCCCCTGTTCGACCAGCAGCACAACAGAGCAAGGAATTTGAAACTCAAACTTGCAGAAATTTCAACCTCCAGTTGGCCAACCCAAAACAGGGGTATCTAACATCATGCAAGATACTCTACTACCTCTTATTAGCTCCAAATCTTGACAGCACGAAGAACCCCTACATCAAACCCAGATTCGGACAACAGCACAGAGACCAAGAAAGGGACATGCAACCTAAAAATCTTACACTATCATCATTATACAACATCATTCTCTCATCGTCATCAAGTTCCCAGCTTAAATCGGGATTTTCTCTCACTACCCAGACTTTCTTACTCAACCATTACATCTTATTAAGCCACCGATCGAAGGAATCAAGATTAGAAGGAAGTTCTAAGACTCACCTTAGTTGAAAACACGGACAGCATGCAATAGAAACCACTTCCGGTCACTCCTCCGTCGAGCGCACTCTCTCCACCTTCTCTCTATTTTCTCTCGCTCTTTCTCTCTTCCTTCTTCACGTTACAAGTTGCAAATGAGAAGAAAAGAGAGTGTTTCTGCAATTAAATGGAACAATCGCGTGTGGACTGTGTGAGTAAAATATTTCGCCCATCTAGGCAAAACTGGAACCCCTTGTTTCTAATCCCATTCTTCACTCAATTTTCCTGAAATTAAGAGGCAAATCCAGAAATTAATCCAGGATATTTTGTATGAATTTCCTTTATCCAATAGCTTCCTTGACCCTTAAAATAATTTTCATAAAACTTTCGGGTCGAAAATCATCTCCTAGCTATTTTTTTTTAAATCT